GGCAGGAGCACTTGCCCCAGATCTGTGTTGGGTGGCTGGGGTCAGGGCCAGCCCAGGCTGCACTCCGGGCAGGTGGTAGGGGCTATGGGGAATTTTAGGGTGGCTACAGACACCTCCATAGCTCCTGCTCTGTTGCCTGGCCCATACAGATCCAGGGCATACGCCCCTGCCTTGACCTGCCACCTCTCACCCAGCCACAGCGGGGTGGGATGAAGTTGTGGCTTGTCTGGGAGGCGTAGGGCAGCTGGAGGGGGTCCTGATGCTGTTTGTCTGAGGCAGGGAAACACCTCCATCCCACACCCACCGCCCCGGCTGGGCGAGCGGCGGCAGCACACAGCCGTTGCTCCCAGGGCCTGGCCAGAGCAAGCTGCACCTGCATCCTGCATTCACCCACCCTGATTGGGCAGCCCCAGCCCCATTCCCTCCATTGCTGTGGGGCATTGATCTGCTACCCTATGCCGATTCCTTCCCCACCACCACAACGGACTTACCAGCTGGACATAGCTGTTCTGAGCATGGTAAAGAAACCAATCCCCCATTTGTAACATTGTTCCTATTGGAAAATTGGTTCCGAGTTATGACTTTTTGATTTATGACAATCAGAAACTGATTTAAACCTGTAACAGAATAGAAGTTCAGGGCACATAAGCTAGTTTCAAAATGGCTGAAAACGGTTTAAGATAAACCTGGTTCAATGTAGTATCAGATTTAACTGATTTGGGTCAAACCAGTTTATGCAATGCCTGTCCCAGACTCCTTACTGGTTTAAGTTAAACTAGAGTCCCCCTGCATCCCAGATGCTTTGCAGCCCTGGGCTAGGCTTGGTACTCTGCTCCACAGAACAGGGTTGACCCTGCCCCTCTGCTCCCTAGCCAGAGCTCTGGCAGAGACTGCAGGTACAGCAGGATCTGCCTGGCTTCCCTCTGCTCCACTGCCCCCTTGCCACTTGCTGCTCAAGCAGGGATCCCTCCTTCCTCTCTCTCTCCCATCTCCCACAGCACAGACCCCAGCCCCATGGACCCTAGGCATGTGGTATGCTAGCTAATGCTGAGAAGTGTCTGTGTGTGTGTCTCTCCAATTTCACTTGGACCGGACAAAGGCAGACAGGACAGTTGGGGCTTTTTGGAGCTAATCAACAGGTCAGCTGGTAATGTCCCTCCGTTCCTTCCATGGAAAAAGCTGTTTAAGAAAGAGCTTGAACTAATGAGAGGCTTTTGTTTTCTTGATATGCTGCTAAACACTACATTATCAGCTCCCTGCTGGCTCCCTTGCCTGTCAGGTTTGCTGCAGACAATATGAAGAAGCAGGGAGAAGGAGATTGAAAAGTTCAGTGTCAACAACAGATGCATGCATTGCACACAAGTAGTCCTCCCTTCCCCTGCCCCCTTTGCCTCAGAACACTAGCTGGGGGCTGGCAACACTCCTGCCCCTTGAGCAGTGAACAGGGAAGAGCCTGGAACTGTGCAGGCAGGGAGGAGTTTAAACCCCTCCCTAATCAGAGCATCCTGCCAGGACCTGACCACACCCCCTCCTCAGCTCCGCACTCTAGAAGGGAAGGAAGAGCTGCACACCCCCAGCTTCTAGCCTGAGCCACTGCAGGCATGAGCCTGCATTGCTTCAGTCCAGAGGGAATGTCTGTGCATTTGTAAATCAGTTTAACCTAGGCAGGTTGGACTAACCTGCAAAGATTGAATCAATTTAGGCTCAGGCTTTTTGAATATCTGTCCCTAGCCACAAACTCTAACTTCCTGTAAGTGAACAAGAAAACAATAAAAAGGAAGAAGCTGTCAAAAGGCTACTGTAAGAAGCCCTGAAAACCACGGGAACTAGCAGCCATGAAACAGGATTACTCCCCCTCACACACACACACACACACACACACACACACACACACACACACTTGTTTTTAAGGCTTCTAACAGTCACTGAAAGAGCTGCTACTAGAAGCCCTGAAAATGAAGGGAGCCAGTCAAGTTTGGGGCTAGTAATGCCACAGCACTGAAATCAAGGGGGTCCGCAACATTCGGTCCGAGTTGCCATCAGTCTGAGGAGCTGGAGGGCTTCAGCTGCCAGGGTTAAGTGGCAAGGGGCTGTGCCTGCACTGCAGCCAGTGGGCAGAGAGAAGCAGCAGCAGGGAAAAGCTAAAGCAGCAGCAGCCTGGTCAGAAAAACAACCCACCTTGTGCCCAAGTTGGGTTATTCTAGGCTACAGTATCAAAAAGTTGCTAACCACTGCTCTAAACAATGTCTCTTTAAGTACAGAGCATTTCAGTGCAATTTCAAAGCTGCTAATAGCATAGCATTGACAAAGTCATGCACTTAAGCACTAATCATTTACATTCAGTCTATGCTCTATGTAAAGAAAGAACCCCAAACAGGCCCATAATGATTACAAAAGGGAAATTCATTTGCAGTTATTATAGGCTTCCATCCTCAAAAAGAAGGTCCATCAGTCCTACAAAAACCCAAATCTTCCTGCCCCGCACAAAAAAAGATTTTTCTCAGTGTACAAACTTTAGCCAATGGCATTGTGCACATTCACCCACTGTCATAATTATGTTCTTTCTTTTTATTATGTTTAACCTTTTTCACACGTACTTACTTGAAGCCTTCACTGGAAATTAGTAACAACCGAATACGCTATAAAACACAGTAGATGGAGAAGGATGGAAACACATCATAACAGCTAAAAACTAATGAGCTATTCCATCTCCTGTGTTAGCAAACAGACAAAAAAATAGGCCTGTAAACCTTGAGTTCTAAGAAATGATCTTAGAATAATGAAAGCTTACAAATACTTTAGCTATTAAACAGTGTAGTTAGGATTCAAACCAGAAGCCACCCCAAAATAAAATCTATTCTTTGGTTTTCTTGTTTGAACTCCTGGCTTATTCTGGGACCATTTAAGCAGTCAAAGTAGTAATAGAATGAACCACACTGTCTTCCCCAAGACTTATGGTTTGACTTGCATTCTTTTCTTGCATGCTTGATGGGGAAAAGTATTCAGCACATTATTCTGTATACAACACCCAAACACTCTCCAGGATGAAAACACCTATTGCTTCATGTACTTATTTGATGTAGAAATACAAATGTAGGCTTTCTATAAACTGTGCACGCACATGTGCGAAGTTAACCCAACACTATGGCCTTGAGCTGATTACTTAACCCTCCTCATCTCTGAAGAAAGTCACACTGTGCCCAACTACTAGCTAGATTTTTATAATGTAAAAAACAACAAAAAGTAAACAAAAATTCCCTAAAACTGTACATAGCTTTTTGACTGTACTTAGCTCCAGAGACCAAAGGCAAGAGGGATTCAGGGTTTCTTATCTCTAGCCCCTGAAGAGCAGTTTTATTGCATGTTTTTGTAGTCATTTTGAAGCAATCAGGAAGGGCGTATCTACACGTGTGCTTTAATTTGTAGTAACCCATTTTACTGCACATTAAAGCATCATGTAAAAAACTGTGCAATTACGCTAATGCACAGTAAAATAGGTTACTGCACATTAAGCGTGACTTAAAAACCATGATGCTTAGGCAGCCTAATGGGCATTTGTTTAGTACCTCACACTGGAGATACCAAATTTAATGCGCATTAGGAAAAACGCCTTAATGCATGTGTAGACCTGCCCAAAGAGAGAGGACATGGCATGACTGCATGGTGCTGAAGCACACCAAATATTAAGTGTGCCAGTATTCAGAAAGCTGATGCACATGTGCTTTCACAACATATGGAAAGTCAGCCAATACAAGTCTGTCTGTGATTTCTGAGCTTTTAAAATTAGGAGATGCACAGTTTTCTACTTCTGGAAACAGAATAAACAGGATAGACTTCAGGCCAGAAAAAGACTTTGGACTGAGTTTCTCCATAGGCAGGAAGGGCTTCTGAAGAGGAAAAGTACATTTATCCCTTCCACTCTGAGGAAGGCTGGAAAACTAACCTTAATACTCGGTATTTTGAGTTTATTTGCTCTCATTTAAAATAAAACTCATCTTGAGAAAAGTACTCCATAGTTGCTGACTGTTTTATTCTATCTTTCTTTGCCTGCAAGTCTGCCAAGTAACTTATTGGCAACCAATGAGACTTGTTGTAAAAATAAAATAAATTTAAGTTCGTTAGTTTTCCCAGTTAACATCAACATGTGATAGCTGAAACAGATACACTTCTCTAGTTTTTGTGAGCAAGCTGAAAAACGTGCAAAGAAGCCTTCACATAAATGGGTGGAACCTGTTAAAGTGCACTCTGCTCTTCTGTTTCTAACACTTACGTTTTTCAATATATAGATTAACATGCCTATGTTCACTCCTCCCATAGAGACCCAAGAATTCTTAAAGGGCTTGGCTTTGTCATATGATTTCTTCCTAGGATTCACAATGTTCTGTGTTTGATTAGAGCCTGATGCTGCTTTCATATAGAGATGAACCAATTATAAATGACAAAACTAATACGTAATCTGAATAATGAGCAGAGGGATCATTGAATGCACAACTTTTTTTTTTTTTTTTTTTTACTTATTCAAATATCAAAAGAAAAACATACACATAGCTAAAACATGCACAAAGAACTGTGCTACTCAGTGAACACAACAGCGACCACATAGAAACATGGTATAGCATGAAGGTAGCTATTCTGCAGAAAAGTAAAGAGACTTTTTTATATTCAAATATAAAACAAAGTGAAGAGCAACATTTCTTTCAGATTACACGCTGAAGGTATCGAAACTGGTTACTTACCAAGCCAGCTATTGGAGTAGACAAACGATTGATTTTCTTAATGATTCCAGGTTTGATCTTGTTAATCAAACTAAAAATAAAATGAGAGTAATTTGACTTCCTGTTTTGTTATAACATACAACTCAAAAGATAAACATAAAAAGAGTGTATTTGTGAAAAATATTTTCTCTAATTCTAATTTATGTTTGTACCTGTTAAAGACAGATAAGATGTTTAGATTCAACATTTTCAATGATGAAAAGTGAATTGATCACACGCAATATAGAGAGAAGGAAAGAAGCTGTACAAAGGATTGCTGAGAATGGCAGAAGAAAAGGGTAAAAAGATACAAGAAACATGGGAGTGGGTGCAAGGTCAGGTTTTGCAAATCAGTTGGGGGCAATCTTCATCAGGAGTACTACAAATTAGCCCTGTACCCTTAACACATGCCACTCTGGCCCCCTTCCCTTATCTGCTGCTCTGCTTTCTGCCCTATCCCCTCCCTGATCTGCTGGGCGTCACACAGAGACTACCCATGCCATTTGAGACACACATGCTGTAGGTCAGCCACCTCTAGTTTCTCAGAATCGTATTCTTAAAAGGCTTCTCCTAGAAATATGTTTTCAGAGGACATCATTTACTCTGCAAATTACAAAAAACTGAGACGTTTGTATTGAAAGTACTATGTTATTAAACCCCAGTCACATTAATAAAAAAGTAATGTTACTTAATGTTCTCTATCCAAATCTGAGGCCCCTTATAATTGGCACAGGGTAAGAAAAAAAGGCTCTCACCAAGCAAGCTCAAAATTAATTTTAGAACTACTGTATTTAAACTTATAATTGTTCAAAGCACAAATCCAATTCAAGTCTGTAAGACTGTTTCAATACATTGTCATTCATGTATGAAGTGTGCAGCCACATACACTTATTAACATATAAGTTATGCATGTAAATGGCCTGCTTGCATGCTCAAGTTAGGTACTCAGACCTCAAGTGATCCAAGCCAATTACTCCCTTGGAATATGAAATAATATTTTTCACATTCATTGCAAGTGTGCCATGCTGTTTTACTTTATTTATTTCCTTACCGTGTAACTCTAAATCAAGTCATTTAATAATGTATTAAAAAAGAAACCAGTTTTTGTAAGGGTTAGAATAGAGGAAAACTGGTCTATGTTTTATTCCATTAGCCCAAGAGATTTAGTCCCCGATACATAAAAGTAACTAAATACCTAAAGCAGAATTAGATTTTAAAGAGGAATGCAGGGTAGAAGACACTTCACCTCTCAGGGTATATTTTATGAATGCTATTAAGATCCTAAACACAATGTGGAGACTGGCAGCATGCAAGATACCACTGCTGCCTGCAGTACTGGTGGAGTTAAGGTTTCAGGACTGTAGGTTTTAAGATCAACATCCTTCTAATTGTCCACTAAACACAAGCTTTGATTATTGTGTTGAAGTGGGTTTTCAAAAGAATTATTTAGCTTCTGAACGCATCATTTTTGCCTTGGCCCTTGTTACAGTTTATAAACCACTGAATGTTACCTTAACAAGCTGTTTTAAATTGGTTTTCCTTGCCACAGAATGCACTGCAAACTCTGATACTGTTGGAATTCTTGTCTTCTACTGGACTACTGATAAAATACAGCACTTGGAAAACTTTGGATCATGTTCATAACACCACTTTTTTCTCCCCTTTTACTCTCTATATATTAGATTAAGATTATAATATAAAAAGACATCTATAGAACTTAAGCAAAACCTCAAACAAGTTAGCACAATATGGACAAGCATTTTTCCTTCGTAGAATATTGTATGCCACCCAAGTCAACCTGCTCAGTAGAATAAATTTAAAGACGCATTAGATTGTACAGGGCTATTAATTACAGCTAAATTAAGCTGATTAATTTCAAAAGACAGCTGCCATCTGCCAAACAAACTATTCTTACAATCTTTGGCCAACCAAACGACAACAAAGCTGGCAAAGGATTAAAATACATCTATCTGTTCAGGCTGTTAACTCTTAAAGATTTTTAATTATACCTGGGGGTTTTATTGTTTTTCTTTTTATTGCACACTTCCCCCACTATAATTTACAAGGTTCTCCCTGATGTTCCATTTATTAAACCAAAACCTATATGAGATTTGGAGAGATTCTGACCTAACAGGATACTATTAAGATAGAATAAAATACTTAAAGAGTCCTGATGTAAAATGCTCTGCTCAATATCTGATGAAAGCAAAGAATATGACAAGATTTCCAGCTACATAACATTTTTGGCTCGTCAGAAATTATACATTCTTATTTTCATGTTCCTGTTTAAACTCTCTTCATCTTCAGTGGTATGTGAAAGTAATCATTAAGAAAGTTTAGAAGGGATAAGTGGGTAGGAGGGGAAAGGGAAAACTCCCAAACCCAAACCAATTTAAAAAAAAATAAGCAAGCGCAGAGGCAGAAGCCGGACAGCACATGGATAAAAGGTGCATTAATGAAGGTCAGAAACTTTATAAACAAAATGTTGGCATCCACTTTAGTTCAATACTTCAAAATAAAATTTACCCACAGATGTACAAGGCAAGGCAAAGTAGCACCTGATAAACCAGGGGCTGGCAAAAATACAGCCCCCACCAGGCACTTTCATCTGGCCCACGGCCCCTACCAACAAATTGTACCCCACCCAGCCCTTCCACCCACACAAGGGTGGGAGCGAGGGGACCACATACACACACCCTCAGCATACCGTATTGCGCCTCACTCCCACAATTCTGGGCAGAAGAGCCTGGCCCAGCTGGCAGACAGCTTCCAGGCAGGGCTGCCGCTGCCACTGCCCGAGGACCCACTCGTTCCAGGCACCAGGTAGGGAAGTGGCAGGGGTGGAGCTGCAGCTGGGTGGGAGCGTGGGGCTGGTGGCAGTATGAAGCCAGTGCCCAGGGGGGTGGGAGCAGCACAGAGCTCAGGTGGGCAGCATGTGGGAAGGATGGGGGTGTGTCCCCCTCCCCACTCCTGCCATGGTACGTAGCTGGTAGACAGTGGCAGCAGCAGGCAGGGGCACTTGCGCCTGATGGTGCACAGCTCTAGCCAGTGCTGCACAACACAGCCAGGGGTTCAGCCCCTGCCGGGCCATCTCTATGGCTGACACTCCCCACTGTACACCTGCAGCCCTCACATTCACACAGCATGGAAGGGAAGCCCCACACACTGCAGTAGAGGGCAGGGAAGGCAGCCAGCTCCAAAGGCAGCCAGCTTCAGTGCCAGGGACTTCCCTCCCATGCCATGTGAGTGTGGGGGCTGCACGTGCATGGTAGCACATGCCAGCAATAGAGATGGGCCAGCAGGGGCTGCACCCCTCACCACTATGTGCAGCTCTGGCCCTGTGCTGCTGTGCATCTGCAATGGGCACAGGTGCCCCAAGCACCCTCACCTGCTGCTATGCCATGGGAGGGTCCTCATACCCTCCCACCCCTACAAATACCACATACCCACACCCTGCCCTATAACCCCCAACATATCCTATGCCCCCCCACACATAACCACACTCCCTCACAAAGCCCCCACATACCCCACCATATACACACAGCCACTCCTCACAGTCTTTTATACTGTGTGTGGTGGAAAAATAATTTATTTTTGAATTATCATGCAATCACCTCTATATAGACTACGCAAACACAAATCATGACAAATAGTTTTGCAATAAAAATTAAAATATGCTATAGTAGAGGTTTTATTTTTAGTGTGTGATCTGTTGTTTTTTTTTCTGGTTCCAAGATGGCAG